TTAGTACCCTTGGAACTTTTCCTCTCTCAGGGAAGAACAGTATATGTGCCTTTTAACACTTCATGAACTAGAGGCAGACTCTCATCAGCTTGCCGATCATCGGCGGCTGGCCTGACGACATTCTTATTATCGTATGTTACAAACATTTACATTCAGTCAGCCTTGTAGTCCTCTTACACCTCTTCAATCCTTACTTGGGCACAAGGAGGGTTTCATCCCCAGCTGTGGACAATCTGCCATTGTTCTCCCTTTTTCTTCCGAGCAAACCGGGTACTACAGAAATTGATGCCTCCCACTATCGTCCCATCGCTCTTACTTAGTGCAAGTTTGCAAAGTGATGAAAGCTCGTAAATCGACGTTTAAAATGTGGTACTAGAGACCACAACAGACCTCTCTCTCCGCTAGCCAAAATGGCTTTTCGTAAGGGTCGTTTCTACCATAAGACCCCTTACTACGCCTTGGTCTCGTATTTCGTAATGCCTTTTGCGAATAATCACTCAGTTATTGCCAATTTTTTGACCTCAAGGCATATGAACACAACTTGGAGGTATAATACTATTTTGGCCCAGGCCCCATTCCTTAGGCCTCCGAGGCAATCTACCAGCCTTCCTTAAAACTTTTTAACTGACAGACAGTTTTTCCGTGTTCGAGTCCAATAATGGCTCTCCTCCCGGACTTCGTCCAAGCTGAAGGTGTCCCTCTGGGATGTGTTCTAACACAACACTTTTTCTCCTGCTATAAATGATTTGGCCTTGTTCTTTCCAACACCAATATTTGGTCATCACTCTATGTTTGTGACTTTCGCTATTTTTGCTTGTGCAGGCGCTGACTGTCATCTTATTGCAGTTTCTCTCCCAAGCATGCGGTCGACCGTGTTTCCACTAGGGCCACCACCATGGGTTTAAATTTTTCAAGTACCAAAACTCACCAAATTACTTTCACTTAGAACGCCCTCTGTTATCTCCGATCATCCTTTGTACATGTATCTCTAGGGCTCCCGTATCCCCAAAGTGATACATAGTTCTGGGCCCTTCTCTTTGACGTGGTTATCCTGGAAACCTCACAACCTCTCTGAAGGCAATTTTGTCACAGCCGGCTAAACCTTCTTAAACCCTTGCTCACTTTCCTGGGGAGTGACATCGAATCTGCTTCCCCTCATTCAGCCCTCGTTTTTCGAAACTTGATTATGGTCCCAGATTTTTTCCGCGGCCTCTCCTGCTACTTCTCTAGCCTTACTTATCCATCACAAGATTACTTTTGGGCCCCTTGGTGTTTTTCCCGCTTTTCCCCCTGTTGGGAGCCTCTATGCAAACAAATGTTCCCCCCTTGTCTGATCACCGTGAGCCCATTCCCTTTTCGTACTATGTACCTCTCCGTCTCCAAAATTTTTCCATTTATAGAAGGTCACCGTATTAGTAACTTTTCTTTATTCGTTCGCCGCCCTTTTTTGCCCCGTCCCTTTTCTTTCCCTACTTCACTTTTGTTTTCCCCTTCAGTTACACCTTTAATTTCATGTCATCTCATTTTCCCCTTTCCCCCGGGGAAGTTCAGTTTCGGGTCGTTCTTTCTCACCCCTTGCCGGCCAACCCCTAGGTGGTTTCCCCCCCTTTTTTTCTTGATCACTTCCACTCCTTCTCAGCCATGCTGTGTACCAGAGGGCTCAAAGTCTTGGACGGCGCGGATTGCAGCGTTTTTCCGGCAGCGCGTGCGGGGGCATTTACTATCTTCGGCTGTTTTTTTTTTACTGGAACTGTATCCTTTTGAGATTTATTCGTTGCATCTTTGCCTGTGTCATCATTTGGGTAGTCTCAGACCCCCTTGGGTGCTCTACAGGCTTACGAAAATTTGATACTTTCCCCCCCCTATTTCTCCGTACCCAATTTGGCTAGCCGTATCTTACGAAGCTAAAATTTTTATTTTTTTGTTCGGTCCCTGGTCATGTCGCGTCGGGGAAATGAACGGGCAGACCTGCTGCCGGTCACAGTAAATGACCTCCCAATTTCCTATAGAGGTGTTCCATTTCTGGCTATTTTGCACAATGCTCCCCACCTTCCCCCCGTTGGCAAAAAAGTTGGTCACTCTGTTTTGGTAACAAACCTTCATTAAACCGACTGGGTTTTACTGGCCTCTTCTTGCATCAGTCCCGGGGTTTGGGGGAGACCCTTTTCCCCGTCTTTGATTGGCCACCTCGTCTTATCATGGGTATCTATGGAGAGGCCCCCTGTCCTCTCTGTGGCGGTTTCAAGTTCCATATCGTTGCCACATTCTTTAGATTCCCCTCTTATAAAGGGCCCGCAGAATTTACCTCCAACCCGTTTTTCGTTCATACTCTCTTTTACCTTCCCTTTTTGTGGGGGCCCCTCCTTTAACCCTGACTCTCTCATTGACTTTTGACAACGACGATTTACTCCAAACTCTGATGATGAAAACCTTACCACTCCCCCACCCCTTTCTAGCCCCGCTCTTGCTCCCCCTTTACCCTTTCACATCCACTCTCCCGCTGTTACCTAACCTATTACTCATCCACCTCCCTTTTGCCACCCGTGCCCCCGCTTCTTCCTGCCCTGCAGGCTGTATAGCCTTGTGGCTTAGCGCTTTCTTTTTTTTTTTAAAATAATTTTTAATATAAAGCTCACAGAGGGAAAAAATTTTTAGGAGTCCACCTTGATAATAGACTCAAATTTCAAACACGGCAACAAAAATTTTCCAAAAAAATCTCCAAGACCTAGGGATACATCGAAGGTCGGTACTTTGTTCCAAATCGCTCTCCGGCCCTAATCATTACATTTCCCCTATCTCACTAGGAATTTGTGCATGGGGCTCAAAACAATAAATCACAAGAAATAAGAAAGAAGGAAACTGCAGCAGGGGTACTGGCCCCTGTGGGCAGGTCCAAATCTCCTACCGGGTTAAGCAATGCACCCAACCCAGTCAGATCGGGCACATTGCTTAAGGGAGGAAACGGCAACCGACCCGGTAGCACAAGCTATCAGGTCCAACTCCAAACCCCCCCACATCCCCTCTGTATTTATTCAACCCTTTTTTTAAACTACACAAAGTTCTGGCCTCTATCACGTACTTGGGGGGTTTGCCACTCATACATTTTTTACCAAACCCCTTACTTTCCTATATCCCCTTTCCTGAAATCTAAATTTTTCCCAAAAAAACATTTCTCCCTTTCGGCTAGTATTTTCAGCACACTATTTCATCCCCCTTTTTTTATTCCGTTTCCTTTTTACACCTCAATCAATCCCCCCTAATTTTTTTTGCTTTCTGGGGAAATGAGATTCGGGGCCCCTTTGTCTTCCTCATAGGGGGAAGGTTCTGATACATGGGATCAACTTTGTCATCCTCCCTTTTTACATTTTCCCCGAGCATTTATTCCCTTCTGTATACAGTGACCAAAACTGGCGATAAACTAAATGAGGCTAAAAAAAGGAGTTTTGATGTAGGATGTATCTAGACCATTGTTACCCAACCCCCCCCAAAAAGGGCAGTCGAATGATGATAAATTCCCCCCCCAGGGAGCTACTCCACCAGTATTCAAAACTCTTAACTTACTCACCTACAAAACATCCATCTTCTTATGTGCCCGCTAATACATAGAAAAACTAAACTGGATTAAAACCCTCCCTCAAACTTTTCCTTACCCCTCAAAAAAACACATGCCAAAAAAAAAGGCACACACTCTTTGATGTTCCTTGTCCATCTGCACATGTAAAAACTCAATGCCATAAAAGGTCCAAAAAACTGGAAAAAATTACCTGTGTTTTTAATGAAACATGTTTTTTTTCAATTTAAGACTCTTTAAAACCCTTTCCCACAATAAATAAATATGAAAAACTTATCTCTAAAGTATAACCTGGACCTTTTCAAACTATGTTTTTTGTAATTAATTACCCAATGAATATCCATTTTCTTGAATATACAGTAACTCATCAAAAAGACCTATGACCCGTTTCTGCACTAAAATCATTTATTTTATTCGATTTGATCGGATTTTAAATTGTATGCTTCATATAGTTTTTGATCATTTTGTTATACTTTGGGTTTTGCTAATATTTATACAACTATAATGTTCTTATTGAAATCCTTTTTTACTTCATGTTGTAATTTGTTTACTGTAAGTTTTTACAACTTAATATTAATTGCTTAGTTAATCTTTAAATTAATTTTAAGCCCGCCCATAATGCTCTGATAAACGGGGCTTTTGGGATGTACACCAACCACTATATTTTTCCCTTTAACAACTATGTTCTGTCCCCAAAAAAAAAATAAATAGTTGTCCCTAATCCAAACAGTGGACTGTGTTTTTTTGGGGGGTTTTTCTTGCCCCTAGTTGTTTGATTAAGCAGTCTACATCTACTTAATTGAAACTCAATTGACAGATTTTTGCTAAAACAGTCATTTCTTTCCTTATTTGTCTGTTTTTTTTTTTTTTTTTTTTATACATTAGACCTTCATGAATTACAGTAGGGCCCCACTTATTCCGCAGGTTAGGTTCCAGGCTACTGCCGGAAAGCAGACTTCTCCAGAAAGCAGAACTCCATTTTTTCTATTTATAAATGCATATAAATGCCAGATAAGTTTACACTAATATATATTAAGTTAGGAATAGAACTAGGCATTAAAAAGCAATATGCACACAAAGTACACTTATTATTTACTTCAAAATATTTGTAGTCTTAATGTAGGGCAAAAGGTGAGGAATATTTACCTTAAGAAGTCAGGTGTGGTAGCTCTCCTGGCCACTCCACCCACACGTACTATACTATGATGCTTAAAGCTCCCTAGAGGGATAAAATGCATATACAGTACACACATTACTTACCTTAAAATATTTGTAGTCTTAATGTAGGGTGAGAGGTGAAAAGTACTTGTTTGTAGAAAGTCATGTGGGAGGTATGGCATCGTGCCTGGCCACTTACACTTACTACGACATTAAGCTCCTTAGAGCAATAAAAGCATGGTGAGAGGTGATCAAGGGATCACTTGTTGAGCAGTTTTGCAGTTGATCTTTGCATGGAAGATTTATTTTTTAAATTATCAGGCACACCGAGAGCAGCGTTGTGCTGAATCCTGTCGACGCAGTGGAAGATTGGAAGAAGCAGCTGCGTGTCATGGTCGTGCAGCTGAGTTGCTTACTAAGGCTCTCAGTTTAACAGTTACTCCACTGGCTCGGCAGAGTATAATCTTACAACACTGCTTTCATATTCGTCAACAGGAGTTACTTAAGTAAGTCATTGAAGTCCAATAAACATTTTTTCTTTATAGAGCAAAATTAACCCATTTATGCCATATAAAAACATAAGAATGAAGGAGTGCTGCTGTAGGACTATTGGCCCATGCTAGGCAAGTCTATCTCACACCCACTCGTATTCTTGTCCTACCTATATTTAAAGTTACCCTAGTTCTTACCCCAGTGAGGCTACCTGGGAACTTGTTTCACATATCTACAACTGTGTTGGCAACCAGTGCTTTCCGATATCTTTACTGAATCTACATTATTAACCTTTAATTCATTGCTCTTTATCCTTCGATAAAATAACCAATAATTAAAAATTAACCACTCTTATCCTGTCTAGATTTAAGTAGTTTTTAAGTACGTATTAGGATTAGTCTGCCTGAAATGCCCTGGCATGATAGTGGCTTTCTTTGTACAGTGGAACCTCGGTTTTCATGATTAATCCGTTCGAAAAAGTCTGACGATAAACTGCATCGTATGAAAACTGAAGCAATATTTCCCAAAAGAAATAATGTAAACCCAGTTAATCCATTCCAGACACCCAAAAATTTTAACAAAAAATACATTTTACAGAGAATAACTATAGGTTTACATACAAACTAGGGCATACAAAAGCCGAGGTTCCACTGTACTTAACAAATCAAAATTGTAATTACGCATTGTAACCTTTGCAAATTTTCAGCACCTCATTTGTGTCCCATTTATTTATTTATTTCTGTTTTTCATTTGTACACTTAACCCCTTCAGGGTCCAAGGCCAAAATCTGAAGTGGTGCTCCAGTGTCCAAGAAATTTTGAAAAAAAAAAATTATTTTTTCTTACAGAATTAAAGAGTATATTTTTGTGAAGGTAATAAGACAAAAAAAAAATTCTGATCAGTACTTACCGAGATACAGCGGTGAAAAGTTGACCCAAAATCACCGGGTGGCGGCAACATCAGTGACTTCAGCAAAATCCCATTTTTTTATTTTACGTTTTTTATACTTTTTTCTTTTCTTTTCTAATTTTTTCTTTTTCTAATAACATTTGTGGCCTGTGAGACCAGTATAATGTAAATTGTATAAGTGTACACTCATTGTATTCCATGCAATAACTGCACTAATTTGTTTATCATTATATTGCTTACAAAACTTGTTTACAAGTTTATTGTAAACAAAATGATGAAGATATTAGTGCGGTTATTGTGTTGAATACAATGGTACCATATAGTACCATATGGTACAAGGGTGCCATAGGGTGCAATGGACCATATGGTACAATGCCATGATACAATGGTACAACTAGTACCATATGGTACAATGGTGTCATAGGGTGCAATTGTACCATATGGTACAATGGCACATGATACAATGGTACCATATGATACAATGGTACCATATGGTACAATGGCAACATTTAGTACAATGGTACCATATGGTACAACAGCACCATTTGGTACAATTGTACCATATGATACAATTGTACCATATAGGAATGTACCATATGGGTAATGGTACCATATGGTACCATATGAAATGGTACCATATGGTACCATATGAAATGGTACCATATGGTACAGTGTACCATACAGTACAATGATACCATATGGTTCATTGTACCATATGGTACTGTTGTATTCAACACAATAAACACATTAATATTTTCATTATTATTTTGTTTACAATAGTTGTTTACAACAAAAATATGCAAAAATGTTATATATTAGTAATGTTCTATTATATATTTACAAGTGTACAGGATCTTGACGTGTTCCTTGAGGTGGATGACAAAGCACTTTGTCTAGGAAACTGCGGAGTCAGTAGCTAGCTTGCGTCGCCACTCAGTCTTGGCTGGTGTCTCATACCACCAACACCTATTGACCATATGGAACATGGTATCATATGTTACAGGGTACCATATGGTACATTGTACTATATGGTATAGGGTACCATGCAGTACAGGATAACATATGGTGCAGGGTACCATATGGTACACTGCACCATATGTTATCCTGTACCATATGGGTACAGGATACCATATGGTGCAGAGTACCGTATGGTACAGGGTACCATACAGTACAGGACACCATATGGTACAGATACAGGGATAACTATGGAAATAAGTCACCCTGACTTTTTTGGGTTATCCTAGGATTTTATACGTATGCTGCTATGTATGATAATCTATGTAATTGTATTTATGTATACCTGAATAAACTTACTCAAGTGCATGTGGCATCATAAGCAAGTTTATTTAGTTATACACAGAGTTACATAGAATATCATACTTAGCAGCATATGTTTGGAGAACCTAGGATAACCCAAAAAAGTCAGACTTATTTCCATTAGGGTCCCTGTACCCTGTACAATATGGTATAATGTACCATATGATACCATTGTATCACATGGCACCATTGTACCATATGGTACCATTGTACCATGGTACCATTGTACCATATGGCACAATGGTACCATATGGTTCAAAACCATAGAATTTGTCTTCAGCTCCACTTCCATCAGTCTTAGAACTGTAAGTTGTGAAGAGGAGAGCCAGAATTCGCCCGGAGAGTGAGTGGGGAGTGAGAGCTTCCTTGCCGCCAGGCACAATGAACAAAGCTACTTTGCTGGCGTATCCCACAATGCCATGCGGCGTAATAGAATTTATTTCTATGTGTGCCACACTGCACCCCCAGACCCATTCTCTTAGATGCAGGCCTACCACCTTCCTCGTGCTAAATTTTACGCGCTAGAATTTTGGCGAGACTACGTTTTGGACCCTGAACTTAAAGCCAATAGATCAATGGGACGGGACCCATGAAGAGGGTTAAACAAAAACTTTTCTTTCTGCGTATACAAAATGTAAGAAAATGACAAAAAAATGTAAGAAAAAATGTTAAACACAAAAGAAAGCCACTAGCATGCTTGTGTATTTGAGGCACATCCCCAAATACTGCACCTGCCAGAGTGCAAATTTCAGTGCTTTCAGCCTATCTATACAGAAAAGGTCCCGATACTTGGGACAGTTTTTGTAAGCTTTCTTAATAATTTTCAGCATAATTTAGCTGAAGGGGGTAGGTGAGTTTCGGTGGGTGGAATAGAATGGGACTAAATCTGGAGTTTCTGAGAGAGTTAGAGCAAAGGAAGGGGTAGCAGTAAATGTAGAAGGATCAGTTACGGAAGGAGAAAAGAGAATAAGAATGGGTAAATTCAAGAATTAATGGAGTAACGTAAAGTTGGATGCAAAAAGTGGGTCATAATACGCGTGTATGCACCTGGATGAAGAGATTAAACAGAGAAGAGAGAGAGGATTTGGGCGATGTTAAGTGAATGTATAGGAGCCTTTGAACCAAGAGAGAGAGTAAATGTGGAAGGGGACCTGAATTCTAAAGTAGGAGAAATTCTTGGTAGAGAAAGGGGGGGTGTGTAGTTAAGTTTTGGGGTGCCAGGTGTCATGATAATGGGAGCCCTTTGAGTTGAACTTGGTGTAGAAAGGGGTTTAATTTACTAGGTAATACAATATTTTAAGAAAAAGAGGATAAAAAGTATACAAGATATGATGTAGGGTGAAATGACAGTAGTTTTAGTTGGATTAAAATGTATTGGTTAATATAAAAGACTGTTGAGTAGACTTCATGATGTAAGGTTTTATAAGAGTGGCCAACAGATATATCAATCACTTTTAGTTGTAGCAACACTGAAGTAAAAGGTAGATGGGATACATGGAGAATAGAAAGCATCAGGGAAGAGAAGAGGTGAAGGTTTATAACTAAAAGAGGAGCAGTTAGGGTAAGATAAATACACACTATTGGAGAATAGAAGGGCCTAATGAAGAGCATACGGCAATGGGGTCGAAGAGGTATGAGGTAGTTAAAAATGTAGTGTTAGAGTGTTCAGCAGAAGATTGTGGTTACCAGAAAGTGGGTGCGGAAGGGAAGAGGACGATTGGTGGAATGAGATGTAAAGAATAGTTAGGGAGAAAAAGTAAGCATATGTAGAAGTTTTTTACAAAGTAGAAGTGATGCAAAAGGGAAGAGTATATTTGCGAACAAGAGAGTGGTAAAGCAATGTACAAAAGAGAGGCAAATGAGAGAGTGGGTGAGATGTTATCAACAAATTTTGTTGTAAAAACTAAAAAAGTTTTGGAGTGAGATAACAACAAGGAAAGCCTAAGAGACCAAATGGACTTGTCAGTTAGACCCTTTCAGGGTCCGACCCCGTAGATCTACGGCTTTACGTTCAGGGTCCAAACGAGATCTACGTGCCATGAGCTCAGCACACTCTGCTATAACTAGTGATGTGGTAACATTTGGGCCTAGATATGAAGAGAATACATCATGTGGTATGTGTGCACCACATAAACAGATCCTGCACACACAGTGTATTAATGAAGAAAAAAATGAAATCATGATTTTTCGATTAAAACAGCAACTTTGCAGTGTTTTTTCCGTATGTTTTTTTTTATGTTGTATTTGCATTTCTTTGGTCTCATTTGATAGAATGTAAACATATTACAGAAATAGAGATGATTATATTGTTTTTGCACTGGAAATGGCTTGAAAAAACTGAGCTCAAAGTAGCAGAAATGTTAAAATTTTTTGCGCCGATATTCAAGAGTAAACAAACGACCTCACACTTCAAATAAAAATCCACATCAGCTGGTTGGGTCTAATATACATTCACAAATATGGTGATGATATTTATACAATTATTACAGTATTGCATAACAGTAAATCTTCTATTTTTTGGTGTAAATAAAAATTCATTATGTGAATAAAAAATCAAAATGGAATTTATTTTTAAAGCCTCAAAACATAACTAATGAACAGAGGAAATGTTAGTTTAGTGCCAGGAATGCCTACATTGTTCATTCTGAACCCTATTTTGAAATTGGAATATTTTGAACTTTGTGTTAAATTGGCCAAATTAACAATTTCCGATCACTTTATTTTGTAGTTGAAACAGTTAACTTGGTGATTTCTTGTGCTCAATCGATAGAATAGAAGTAATACTAGT